ACCCCACTGCGAACCACTTGAAGCCAAGTGGCGAACCGGCCAGGAAATGGCCAGCCAGCCAAGGTCTCTGGCTCTGGCTGAGGCATTACGACTTAAAATTAACAAGTTTTTGCCTTGGCACCGCCAGTGCAAGCCCCAAGGAATACACAACAAACGACGCGCTAATTTGACAAAACCCACATGAGGTCCTTCGACTGAAGGCGGTGCCCAGGAACGGGCATTTAACGTGCTCCACAGGAGACCTGCTGCTGCGTTTACTCTTCTCCGGCATAACCAGACTTAGGCACACATACCCACACATATGGGGTATATAGTACAATCCTGTACAATCAAATCGAAATGAAATTGACCATTAATGTGTGCACACATGGATTCCTGGGGGTTTCCCATACATTTCGGGGGCAGAACCCTTCGAGTTGCGCTTGCCATTGACAGCTATTGTGAAGGATGTTGACAAATGAGCGATTGTGCCGAGTAATATGTAGGAGTAAGGAAATTGAGGTAAGAGACCTGCGTCAGACACTTGAATCGCTTCAAGGATGTTTGCCACAGCCCAGGACCTCTCCTTGAAACAGGGGAACAAGGCACAAAGCAAGGAAAGACCTTCTTTCATGGGATTTGCTTTAATTTTTTAAGTGAAAACCAGAGAAGTTCTTTTAAAAAAAATTTATTTTAAAGGTCTATATTTATTCCTTTATTTTATATACATTTTTTAAACTGTTTTATTGAATTGCCAACAGAATTTATATTTATCAGAATTCTTCAATTTTTCCAATATTAATTATAATAAAAATATTACCCATTATTATTTTCATAAATACAGTATTCCCTCTGCTTATCATCTAAAGGTAAATTTTAATGTTTTTTAACCAGTAAAATTCTAATAAATTAATCCATGACAAAGGCAAAACTTTCCACTGCCAAACACAAATCATCTCGAGTCGAGTTTGTTCCAAGGCATTTGGCAAACTCATTAAAAACTTTTCCTTATCATCATAAAAAAAAGGGACAACAAAAAAGAAGAAATGTCAATACAGCAGGAACTTCTTTCATTTTTTTTTTTCGTTGTGCCACCTGCATAATTTTTTGAGAAAACATTTTCGAATAACTTAAACATTTGCCGTGCACTCTTTTGCCGGCATTTTCCCGGGTAATTTTTCCCCGCTTCAACTCTCTTGCCGGCAAACATTTTTATAGCGCACATTTAATTAATTAGTCGGAAAGTTTTTTTGCAGCCCTCCTTATTGCTTATTCCTCGGGAAAGTTGGCTTGGCTCGGGCTGTTCATCAAGTCGACTCCCTGGAAGCAAACTCATTATCCCTTTCTTCGCGGCCTCAACTTATTATCTCGTCTCCGGCTCGATTATGCCGGCAAAAATTCTTCCCTTTTCGCTGTGAGTGTGTGTGAGTCTGGAACATTTCCTTAAAATATTCATGCGGTAAACTCCTTTTTCCTACCGGGAAAACGGTCCATTTCCATTGCCTCTCTGGAGATGCCTCTGTCGAAAGGCCAAAAACGATTGTGATGATGCCTTAAAATATTCATAAAATACTTAATTAATTGATTAATGGCTCCCGAAAGTTGAGAAGTTTTAGCTAAAACGCTATCGCAAGGTATCAAATTACCCGAAATGGACGGCGGAGGGCGATGATCCCACGGGGAATTCCAAAAACTGGCAAAGTTTGTGACAATCTTTGGCAACTGCAACTTTATCTTTTGATACAAAATTTATGACTAGACGGTAGGTTATGATGGATTTATTAGTGCTTATAAAATATTTTAAAATCTCTTTTGAAAGTATGCCTTAAAAATAACACTTATTGCTCCATTTAAGTAGATTTAAGTACCAAAATGAAAACTATAAAATAAATTTAAAAAATTACCTAAAATCTCTAGGCTTAAAAGCATTCTTTAAAAACTTTTTCATATTTTTTTAAACCCTATTTCATAGCCCATTATACTTTATTTTATTAAATTTAAGCTAATTTCATCCCTTACTTTATTGCACTTGATTGCATTTGAGCTTACTTTGTTTTTATAATTTTTTTGTGGTTGTATCAATTCTGTCAGGCATTCCTTAACTGGCTGGCATATTCTATATAATTATATATACACATATCCTGTTGCTTTCGTGCTTTCCGCGAGCACTTTCAGTTCCGGTTGGCAGGACCAAGTAACAATGTCACGCACACATATTTCCTGTCATTCTAGCGTTTATTTCCTCACTTCCACAACTCCTATTTTTTTCTTTATCGCATCCTTGTTAACACGTGCGTTGCCTTGCCCATTGTTGCTGGCTTTTTTCTGTTGCAGTGTACTGGGGAAAAATAGGTAGAATATTTTAAATACATCAATTAAATATAATTTTAAAAGTATTTAAATAATTTAAAATCTATATAAATAAATATTTGAGGGATGAAAATATATTTAAAAAATTTTAAGCTTATTTAAAGTGCTAAAAAATAAATATATATAATTTCCTGTGTAAATGTATTCCCTTTTTTTCGCCAACAAAGTTTATCAGCGCTCAAAGATCTCTGTTGCATGGCCATGGCCAAAAACTGAGACCTGGACCTGGCTTAAAGTCACTGGCAGTGTGGGACGTTATGGGTTGGCATGTGTAAAAACAAAGAAATAACAGCAATAATATAATTATATGTTGGCATGACATGTTACGTGCGAGTGTCGTTTTGAGAAATTTTAACACGTTCACGACGCTGAAAGCTATAGAAAACCCAAGGGAATGGCCTGTAATTCAAAACTAATGTGCCAGAAACTATTTATTATAAAGTAAGAAATACATATATAATTATTTAATGACATTATTTTGATAATTTACAATGACTTAAAGGTTTATCAATAACCAAATTATCATTAATTTATATCTATATATTTTTAAAATATTTTAAGAGTCTCAATCTCACAATTTCCTACTTTATTATCATTTATTGTTGATCAATTTATATCTTTAGAATTTTTTTTAAATATTTATCAGAGTCTCAACTTCACTCTTCACTACTTTAACTCTTAAAAATGACATTCTAAACTCCCATCCATCTCTGTTCAGTCGGCAAAAGAATCTCCAATAATAAGATAACCACCCAGAAATGTTTTTTTTTCAGTCACTTTTCGGTAATTACAAGCCAGACTTGGATGCCCCCGCTGGAATTTTGTAATCAAAAATGCCACAAAAGCCACCGAACGAGAAAACTAATAATAAAACGCTTAATAAATCGTCCATCAAAGGCGAAGGAGGAGTCGCTGCTGCACATGCACACACACAGGCGGAGTTTTCCGGGGAAAACTATATGATATATGGGATGGTGAAGTCTGGCCGAGGAAAACTATTCAATGCCGCACACACACAACCAACTTGTCGCTGGTCAGAGATAGAGGGGGAAAATTGTAATAAATTCGCAAGAATTTTTCGCTTTATAGAACTTGACACGCTGCTAAATGGCCAGATTGAGTGGCGTCGTTGGCCATTAAAAAATTGTCTGGCCCAAATGAGATTAAAGCCAAGGCGAGGGAGAGACATTGTTGCCCGGCACTCACACACACTGGATAGCATCGCAATCAAAATGCCAAATGCATTTTTTATTGAGTTAGTCGGCGGATGCCTCTCCCACTGACAACAGTCCCTTTGTCCGGTGGCAATTGCATTCATCCTGCCAACAAATTAAAACAAAGTTATATGCCACTGCAACATATACTTTTTTTCGCTTTAAAAAAAGGGAGGAAAAATTACAGCCCAGCGTTGGGGGGCTCGTAAAAAAATTTCCATTCCATTGCAGTTGTAAATGCTGCGTGTTGGCAGCCATAACTAGTTTTCAAGCTTGATAAGTCAGAAACAATAAAAAAGAAGGGTGTAAAGGGTCTAAGCGAAAACTAGAATACACTAAAAGATTATTTTTAATATTTTTAAGATATTTTAAAATATATTTCTAAAGTGTTTTGAGAGAGTTTCTCATTTTTTTCCGTTTTAAAATTCTTTCTGTATAATCTTAAGAGAGCAACCAATCTTTTTTGCATTTAAGTTAGGGTAAAAATGTAAGCAACATTGTAAAGGGAAGTTCCCTTCTCTGTAAAGGTCAGTTTTGTCACTGGAACTTGCCATAAAGTTTACGATATCTCAGAGTAAAAGTAAACCCATTCCAGGGATTTTTCTCTACAATAAAACACTAGAGAAAAATAGTGATAATTTCTCATTAAAAAATGTCAAATCAAGACACTTTAGGTTCCAATAAACAAGCACAAAAATGGGTTCCATTATCAATCCTTTCTCAGATCTGCCTACGCGAAATTTAACCCCAAAAAAAAACAGTACGAAAAAACCAAGCAATCGATGAGCCAAATTACGCATACGACACGTGTGCCGTGGCATTTTTCATTCGTTTACCAATGTGCACCTGCTCAGGTATTTTCCAAAACAATTCTCGCGTGTGACAGTTACCTCAAATTCGACATTGTTAAAGTCAATTTGAACAACAACACAGAAAAAAAACACAAAAAAAACAACGAAGAAAACAATTTGCTGGGCAAATTACAAGCAATTTGGGGCCGAGTTTAACTTTCAATCAATTTAAGCTTGGAATTTCCCTGGCTATATAGTATTGATACCTGCTGAGATATATTATCCTCTTATACGAGCTGAAATATGGATGTGTGTGCCCTTTGTGAATTGTTCGATATGGCCTCCTGCAAGTTTAATGCTGAGAGCCTTGACCTCTCCTCACGACAACGACGACGACGACGACGATGATGATGCCTGCCTTTCAGTTTTTCCATATGCAAATGGATGGCTTGGGTAAGGGGAAAAGGAAGCAGGATAACAATGAAACAAGAGAGATGCCAGGTAAAAAGACAGCAGCAGGATTCGCTCCTTAATTGTTTTCTCCGCCCTCCCACCGACAACTGGGATCCCTTTCAGGAACAACTTAAGCGTCATATTGAGCGGATAAAAGGCAGTCTGTGAGCATTATCCTTGTCATTACAGGGAATATTTTGTATCCTAGCCATAGCTAGTTTATTTTATATAACTTTAAATCTTTTTTTTTCTTTCAATGGACTTGTAACTTGTTGAATTTTTGCAAAAAAAAACTGAAAATTGAATATCACATGAAATATTTTTGCAAGATGCCCTGATCGTAGAGTCGCTTCACATCGGTGCCGCCGCCCACGAACTTGCCATTGATGAAGCACCGGGGCACGGTCTTGGCCCCCGTCATCCTGCCCAGCACTGCCTGGATCTCGGCGCCATCTTCTCGCAGGTCCAGCTCCACCGCCACGGGCTTAACGTCCATCTTGCGAAACTGTTCCTTGGCCATGCTGGAGTAGGGGCAGTAGGATTTGCTGAAGATCACCACCTTGTTGTTGGCGATTATCTCGCGGACGAAGATGGCCTGGGTACTCTCCATGCTCACCAGGGGCTGGGGCATTTGCATAGAACTGATCACGGAACCCATTGGTGAATAGAAAAACGGAGAGAAATCTGTTTGAAATATGTATGAGAAAGCTGAAAGCTGGAGAAAACAAGGTGTGAGGCCTAGGCAGAATTTTTGACTACAAATTTGAATGACTTTCCCGATGAAAGTGATTTTTTTCTGACAATTAAAGGGGTTCAAGGGCTACTTGGATGAGATACATATATTTAGTATCCTTTTTAAGATATTTCTCACTCATTATTTATTAATTTAAATATTTCCTGGTAGCTAGCCAAGTTCTCTTCACCAAAATCAATTAAAAAATCATTAAATTTGAAGGAAAAACCGCCAAAAACAACATGAATCCCAACTATTCCCAGATGTATCTGCGGTCTGGTCCCTGTCATAAAGGCTTTCGCTTCGGGAGCCGGTAGCTTATGACACTTTCACGCATTTTGGGCCCCCAAAAAGCCAACCACATCAACCAAACCCAACAACCACAAAAGGGGATTCCCCTGCAAAACGAAACCCTTTTCGCAATTGAGAATCGGTATAGGCGAGACTCACTAATGAACTGAGGCGTTTATTTATGCAAAAGTTGAGACCTCAACTAATGGTTCGAGGACATCAAAGACAGGACTATCGTATCCTATCATCCTATCATCACCGTCGCTCCGTCTGGCCGGGAGTTTAAATATTAAATAACCCAGGGAGTGAGAGAGGGAGCTGACATGTCTGCAGATGCCAGAGAAATCCTTTTCATTAACGCGACGCTTGTTGCTGACTTCCTGCCAGGACCCCTAGCTCCCTCTCCCTCTCTCTTTCTCGTTCTATCCTTCTCCATACTCACGTGTGTCCATGTCCTGCTCGTAAGTTTCCGTGTAACAATGTAATTTATTGTGCGCACCTTTGTTTTCAGTCAACACACACTCAACGGCTTCGCTTTGGGGTAATAAAACAATTTCTCCACAATGTGCCAAGAATGCACTGGGGAAATATTAATTTTTCTACTTCAATAATCAATTTTTAAATATTTTTTAAGGCGGCATAAGTCACAAAAGTGTACAAAAAAGTATTTAAAAATACAACTTTAATATAAAAAATAATTTTAAAATAATTAAAAACCTAAATATAAAATGTAAAACCTTTAGAACAGGTTTCCTTACAACTCCAAATTGAATTAAAGATTTTTTAGTCTTTTTATAACCTTATTATTTGTATTTAAAATGAATTATCCCTTTTTTAAATAATTATTTTCCCCTGTGTAAACCCCATCATTGTCGCCAGGACATTGTACACTAGCGAAAGGCACTCCTAAGTGGATTATCCTTCCTTCGGTTACTTCAAAAAGTTGCTCCCATCCCTCCCTGACTCCCCCCGCTTACCTGCCCAAAAACAGCCAACTCATTATTGTTGTCTTGTCTTGTTCAATGGCCATCTGGCCAACAAATTTACACATATGCAAAGCGTACCGAAAGAGTCCTTGGTCCTGCGACAAATTTATCGCATGCTAGAATTTGGAGACCACTCTCCAGCAACTGCGCCTGCGCCTGGCCAGAGATTTTCTCCGAGTGTGGCGGCTTGTGCACTAGACCAGCGGTAATTGTTTTGGGAAATTTACTTAACAATCATTTTAAATTGTTGGCGGTTTTCTCTCAAGGATTAGTACTTAATTTGATTAGGCCCATTCAGGCTTTTGGCAGCCAGTGACGCCTTTTTATTGTTTTTTTGGCTGGGAATTTTCTCGGTTCGTTTAGATGAAACATTAAAATTGAATTTTTAGTGGGAGTTTTTCAAGGAAGGGGTTTACTTTATGGAGAGAAAGAAAGGATGTAGTTGGGTTTGGGTGGGAGTTTTTAAGACAAAAACCAGGGCCTTAGGAATGCTTCTCTTAAATAAAAACCTAAAACCATTTCAGGAACTCCCGTCAATCTACCTTTGTCTTCGTATCGAAAACAAATAAAAACTACCACAAAACAACTTCAATAAAACCCTTAGCAGCTACAACAAACTACACCACATACTCCCATAAAACTGATGACCTCTCATGGTGATAACTATGTTACTTCATCTATTACTTCATCCATTACCCATTGAATGCTTATTTCCCTGTAGAAATTCCCATCTGACAATTAATCTAGTCCTCAATTCGTATCGATACAATGACTCCCTAGATCGATGGCCATTGTCCGTTAAGTGGAGCTCACCTCCTCAGCTCCTAAACCTGAATTCAACTATGGAAATCGGTCGGGACAATGCCTTTGTCGTCGTCGTCTTTGGGTGACTCCGCCGACTCCCTGCTAATTGCCGGCAATTTGTCTACGCAATTGCGTAATCCCCCAGGAACAATCCCCTACACGCACTCCCTCCTCCGCACTCCTCCCTGGTGCTGACAAATTAATTTCCAATCATTAACTCAGCTATGCAATGGCAACAGATACTAGGGAAGGAACTCAAAGGGTTTTCGGCAGGGGTAAGGTGCCTGTAGGACTCCCCAATTGATCACCATTTAAATGTCGGTCATTTATAGAGAGGAGTTGGGTGCCAGAGGGATTCCTTTAGTTGTAAGCGGGAGTTTGGGAGTGGAGAGAGTCAGTCCTTCCTCTGGCTAATTGGGTTAGCAGGCAGCAAATGGGCCAGAAGTCGCTACTACCGGGTATTTTCAACTTGAAAACACTGGGGAAAAATAGAAAATACTTGGAAAATTTACTTTAAATTTATTATTATATTATGAATTAAGAATTTACATTAGAAGTTTTAATAATCAATAACTTTCAACTTACTTCCTTTTTTTCTCCAACATCAAATTTACCATAAAATCATTAAAAATACCCCCACAATTTCCTCTCACTGTCTTTTCCAAAAGCATGTCTAATTTTAAGCCTCAATTCCGACCTAATTGATTAGCTTAATTTGCATTTAATGTTCATAATTTTTTAGCGCCTTCCATCCCACAGTCTGCTGCCATTTTCTGCAAAAGTTTCTTATAAATTTCTTCATTAAATATTTTCATACTGAAAGGGTTTTGTGCCACCAACCACCATTCATAACCCTTCAAGTGAAATTAAATGAACTGTGCGTGCGTCGTAATTATTCATGTGGGGATTTTCCTCGCCTCCAAGCGTTGAATTTTCCGAGTTTTCATAGAATAAGATTAGACACAGAGGGTTAGGTTAGCTTTTTCTTATTTCTACTTATGAAGGAGAAGAAGAAAGTTAGTAGTTTAGGTTTAAAATTTCTTGAGAGAAGATTTTGTGTCTACATATTAATTAAATTACTTTAAAAACTTTTAAAATTACTACACTTTATTTATATAAATTTTATATAGTTTAAAGTATTTTATTTTAATTTTTGAGTATTTCTTTTACCTCAAATAAATATTTAACATTTCGATTTATCTTTAATTTAACTCTAAACAATTATTTCTTTTCAACGCCAAAGCTGTATTAACTTCTCTCAAAAAACATCAACTGAATTTCCCTGTTTTAAGCCAAGTTTATAGCCTCATCTGTCTAGTATTACCATATTCCCTTTCTTTCCTTTATTGGAAAAGCAATTTCATCTTTTTTTCCACCTTCTCTCCGCTGCCTTAAAATAAAAACTCAAGTTAATCTCTGACAGAAAGACCCACCAGCTGGCAGGTGAACCTGCTCCAGGTCTTTCTCCAGTTCTTCGGTCTTCCTTTAGTTCTTCTCCAGTTGTCTCGCAGCTCAACTCATCAACCCAATGCACATCCCTCCAATTAATCCAGTGCGTATCAAGTCTGAAGAAAAGTCTCAGCGCAAACAAAAGTGGATGGAAAACCCAGACACACCTGCGTGCGCGCCTACCTAACGTTTCCAGCAATTTTCCGCACAAATTCCAAAGACAACAAGCTCTGTGTGTCTCTTTTTCTTACCTAGATTTCCTGCTGTCTCTTTCGCTTACCTCGATTGCCTTCTCTTTTTGCCGAAGAGGCCTGGCAAACGCATGATCAAATGTCACAATCAATTTCAATTTGGCGCTCGAATTGAGCTTCGTTAGCGGCCAAAAGCTGCCAAAGAAAATACAGGCGGGGCGAAAAGAGATGGCAACACCAAGAGCTGGATGCTAAAGATGCCAAGTTGGAAGATGCAACAGCCAAAGCCACTTTTTCTAATCAAAGCGCCTGTGTAATTTAACTAATTTGTGCATCGCATCCTGCTGCCTGCTGCCTGCCGGTTGTTGCAATTGTCTCACGTTGCAACCGCTTCGCCTGACAACTTGGCTAACCAAATATAAATTGCAAATTGCTCGCTGAATACTTAAGCATCCCAAGTGAAAGACAGGCTGAAATGTCAGTAGATTGAATGACTAACTGGAAAAGAGGGAGTTCAATTGGTTTTAGAGAGTTCCTTAACTTTTAACAGAATTTGAAATACAAATTTTTAAAATTTAATTTAACTCTAAATAAAATATTTACAAATTCTTCAAGCCATATTAATCGTTAATAATAGCATTCAAAATTATTTTAGCTTATAACTTTGTCAAAAATCATGCAGAAAATATTTTGGAAACCAAAACTGTAACGCAAAACCTCTCTTAAACCTCCAATCCACTTTTACGGTTTTTTTGGTGTCCCCTTTTTTTTGGATCTTTTGTTCTTTATCAATAGTGGTGGCAAAAAGCATGGCTTTTGTCTTTTGTTTACCAATGTCTAGACGTCGCTTTGGTGACTTGGCTCAAAAGCTGCTTTGCGTGGGCTCTGGTGTCCCTTAAAGGCATTGTGTAAGTTTTAATGCAAAATTTCGACAGTTGATAAAATTGAAGTTACCAGAACAATCGGGGTTTTATAATAGAAGCAAGGAAAACGTTAGGATTTTGAGAGAGAGTTTGAGTTTCTAAAGAGTTTCCATTCAAATTAGAAGTACAGTTGCCACTGACAATCGATAACATTTTGAGTATTACAGAGAAAAGGTCACACTAAAACAAAATGGAGGCTATAGAATAAGTAGTTTCTTTCTCTCAAATTCTAATTTCTTAGAAAAACAAAATCTTTTTATATCTTATTTTATATACAAAAAGAGCTCTGGCATCATTAAGAAGTCTCCCTAGCAAGAAATTAAAGATTATAATTATACGCAGAAAAGAGAGAATAGAACGATTTGTGGGATAACAGCAGCAAATTAAAAACTTTGCGTAAAATCCATTTTAACTTTTCAACAACTCATCGCCTGGAAGAGCCCAGAGTTGCCAGCTGGCGTACTGAATTGAAAAAAGCTACAACAAAAAAAAAACTCCAATCTGAGCCTGAGAGGCAAACGTTTAACAAAGGCAATTGGAGTTGGAGTAGAAGAAGGCGGAGTAGCAGCAGGAGGAGTCGTTGCAATCGCAGTTATTGCTCCTGCTCCTGTGTGATGAACACGACGACATCCTCGACGGCCAGTTAACCAAAGTCACTCAAGTCAGACGCCAAGTTTTTCGCACACACTCTTCCAGAGTTGGGGAGATTTCAAGGTGTTTTGATACAGGGTGGGGTATATTTCTTAGAAGTTTTAACACACAGAATAACCAAAGCTGATAAAAAAATTTAGGTATCTTTACTTTAAAATTTAAATTATTCTAAAAAATAGGTTTAAATATTTTTCGCTACTTTTCAGCAGTTTTATAAATTATATATAAATTATAAAATAATTTAAAAATATATTTAAAATATTTCTGCCAGTTTTGGGTACAATTTTGACCTATTTCCAGTACGATTTGATACCTAGTTTCCTTCTCCCTATTTAAACCCCATCACTTAACGCTTGATTAAAGCTGCCTTTGCCTGCCACTCTGAAGTCCTTAACTCTTTTCACTCTGAATCCAAGTGGGAGAGTTGCGGAGGCCGCTGGCATTTTGCTTGCAAACTCCGTCTAAATGTTCATTTGTTATGCTGTCGTCGGTCGCGGCGCATCGGTCATCATCGCCGCAATATTCGCAATCATCATCAGCATGCTCATCATCGTCATCATCTTCTTCTGCTGGCGGGCAGCCAACAAGTGTCTTCAAACACACACTTCTCCTACTCGAAACTCCTCTTCAAGTCCACAGCTCTTGGCTCCCAGCTACCGCCAGGCCAGCTGCAAAAGAGGCGCCTCCAGCGATGTCTTCAAGTAGCCAGCAAGTCGGAGATGGGATTGTGGCTGGTTTGAAGCTAATAAATTAATAAACAATTTAATATATTAAAAGAAAATGTTATATATATCTCAATAATTTAATATATATAAATTTTTTAAAACAAATTTTTGGAACTTATGATATCGATGTATATATTAGACCCTATCCCTTATCTTCATTAACAAGGCGTACCAATGCCACCTTAATTTTCATATTTATAAATGTATACTATTTTTTTAAAATATATAAATAAAAAATATCAACATTTATAAAGTAATAAATCAGCTCATCTCTATTTTTGCTGCTCGTTCTTCGCATGCAAATTGCCAGTTGGCCGCAGCAATGTTTTGATTTTATTCCCATTTTGATTATTTTGTTCGCTCCACTTACAGAATGGCCTGGCGACTTTTCTTGTCTCTCCGCCTTGCGGTACAGCGTGGGCTTACTTACTATATATATTCTGTATATATATTCCAGATACCCGGGTCTCCACTGGGGCAGCTGGTGAAGTGCAGTTGAAATTGCCGCGGCGTGGGCTTTTCCAGCTTTTCCCAGTTGTTCGAGAAGTGCGTGACATGTGTTTCGGAGTGCCAGAACGGTAGTTAACTTATGGAAATGCAGCGAGAGAGGCAACTTTTTGTTTGATTGACTCGAGAATGGACCTTGGACATCATGGGACATCGGGGATAAAGTGGAAAAAACTGGCCAAGTCACGTCCACGGCGATGGAATAAAGATGTCCAAAGGGGAACTCACGGAATTCAATTTGAAGTTGATACTGAAAATAGAAGCTGTCAAGAGGGGATTTTTATTGGATATTTTATTTAATTTAAGTGTATATGGGTTAGGGTTTTGGGTCATTTTTATCCTTTTTGGATGACCTAATATTTTGTTTTTTTTCTGTGAAAAAATAGGAAACATACGCGAGAAAATGATTGTATTGCAACTGGAAGCTATCCTTGAGATACACGAGCTCTAAGCGGTTATTTGCCGCTCAAGATTTATGCCCAAGCCCGGGTTTTATTGGCCCAAATCCAGTTCCAGTTAGCCAGAGATATCCGCTGGCCAAAACGAGCATTATTTACGAGAATCGATGCAATTCAGATTGCCATTCAGTTCTCAATATTGTGTGTGGATTTCCTAGTTAGCCAAAAGGTAGTTTACCATTTTCACACTTATTTTATTTATACGATTGCCTTGGGGACACAATAGTTAAACAAATCGTTTGTGCTAACTGATGTTATGATAGTTAAATTTATGTAATTGACCAGCTCGTAAATATGTTCAGGTTTAGGTGGGGGTTAAGACTGAAAACATTTGGTTTTTGTTTGTTATTTATTAAAATCTATTTAAAATTTATGTGAGTTATCGACTTCTTAGCTTTTATACCGATAATGTTATATCGATTATTCATTCCCAACAGGAAATACCATCTCTAGCGATAGGTTTTCTTTTCTTCTCGCTGCTGTCAAACCTCGTACGTAGTCTCCTGCAAATGTTTTAATTTCTGTTAATTTTCATCATTTACCTCTAGCAAAAACCATGCAGAACCCCAAGGAATGGACCAGCAAGGCTCTAGACGAACCCCATGCCAAGCCCCGTCCCACTAACCTCATCATCAATTACCTTCCCAAGGATACTTCCGACGAGGAGCTGTACGACATTTTCTCTACATTTGGTGCCATTCGTAGCTCCAAGATAATTCGAGATAATTTCGGCTCATGTGTCGGCTATGGATTCGTGGATTTCGTCAACAGCCGCTTTGCCCACGTGGCCCAAATGATTGTAAACGGACGCGAGCTGCGCGGCAAGCACCTTAAGGTGTCGTTCGCCCTGCCGCGCGGCATTGACATTGCCAAGTGCAATCTGTTTGTCAAGTATCTGCCGGTGAACGTTAACAAGGAGGAGCTGGAAAACCTTTTCGAAACCCATGGCACCCTCTCGAGGGTGAAGGTCGTGGGCGACAAGTTCAACGGGATGATGGAGCCGCAGCTAAATGTGGCCTATGTGCGCTTCAGGGAGCCCGCCGACGCCGAGAAGGCCAAGATCGCTCTCGACGGGTACTGCTTTCCAGGGGCCAAGCGCCCCATCTCTGTCCAGATTTTCACGAGGCGAGAAAACCCGAGAGTGGATGAAGCCCAGGCCATAGAGGAGGGTCGTTGGAATCCCTCACCGCCGCTGGGTGCAGAGGGTGTCTTGGAGAGGCCTTGGTCTCCCCCGCCGGCTCGTGACCCTATCTTTTCAGATTTAGATTAAGATCTTGCCATATTCCATTACATTTCTATAAACAATATTCACCTAGTCATCATTAATAAAAGCTGATATATAAATGCATCTTAAACATTATAAGGTTCCTGGCTAAATCGGCTTGCCTGGAGTTTTCTCTTTTTTTGCTCAATAATATTATATAATTTCATTAAAAATTATTACAATTTAACGAGGTGTATACAGTCATTAAATTACTCCGTATTTTCAGTCTCCTGGCTCCTGAAATATAGAAAAAGAAAAGCCTTTGAAGTGTGTCAATGCATTTCTTGCCACATGTGGAACATTTCGCACGACACCAGTTCGCATCGCCTGGCATTTTCCCCGTTTTCACCCCTTTTTCGGCCGAGACTTTTGGCAAGTGTCTGCGCCTGCTTAGGCCGTGATAATTTATGTGGCTGCCGCATCTCCGTCGTCGTCGTCGTCGTTGGATGGATTTTGCGGCTTTGATCGGTGCCGACAACAATGCAGCCAGGGAATTTTCCCCCTTCTCCCTCTCCAGGGACTTGAAAGCGAAAGTGACATTTTACTAATTTAGCATTTTGAATGCGTCTCGTGTCGCGCGTTAAAAGATTTATTTACTTCAGCCGCTCCTTGGACTCTTTGCTTTTTAATTAAGGTTGTTGTTTTTATATTTTCCTCTTGATAAAATGTTAATTTAGTCAATAACTTGGTTATGGATGCTGGGCATGCATTAAGCATTGATTGATTGATGGCTGGGAAGCAAGTTGAACTTCTAGGGAGTTCAAGGAGAGAGATTACATGATAAATAAAGTAGTTTTATGTATGGAAACTAATCATTTCTCCTCAATTAAGACCCTCTAAAACAGTTACACTATAATAAATAATTTCCCTTAGTATCCTACTAAATAAATACACAAATTTCCCCTACAGAGACTCCCCTTTCCCTTTCATAATTCCAAATTAAAAACGACTCTAAAAATACCAACCAAAGGATTAGCTAAAAACTAATAACCATTTCCCTCCACTTTGATATAAACAAAGGCGCACATATTTTTATTTGTTAGTGAAATAATTAAAACATAATAAAATCTATAAACCAATTAGTATCGAACCGTTCAAATTGCATTTTCCGGGTCCTGCCAAAGGTTTTTGCGGTGGTTTTTCGCGCTTTATCCGTTTATCGCGACGAGTGCAAAATCCTGTGCGCTGTCTGCGCTCCTTTTTTTTCTGTTTTTGTGCCCATCAAACGATTTAACAACAAACATTTTGCTGCAAAATTATTCAGAGGCAAACAAAAGGCATTCAATTAAAATTTGCACAGTTTGCTGGCCCAGGCAAAACATTTAATACAATTTACGCAAATTAATTTCGCTGGCAAAAACCCCGAAAATCTCAATAGGGGAAAAACGCTGACAAAACACATATACCATATATATATCGATGCAGATCGATGGAATATTTCGAGCACAACAATGAATGCAATATTAATGGCCTATATAAATGGCAGATATACTAAATATATATCGAGCCCTCGAAACAGCAGTTAAATGCAAATGCTTTGCATAAAAACAATTTGGCGAAAATGGCAAAAAGCGAAACGAATGCAATACCAATTTGTCGTATTGTTTGGCCAAAGAGCACAATGGCTTAGGTATCCAAAAGATATGGCCATGAATGATGTGAGTGTTTTGTGGAGGGGTCATCCATTTTCGATTCCATTCGATTCGGGAACTGGGTCAGCAGCCCCCAAACGGAGGACGATGATAAAAACAATAAATAGTCGTTGAGAATTTATGGCATTTTAAGGTGTTTGCACAAGAACACACAATTCAGCAAATTGATTGCACTCTGTCTCTGCATTCAACTGGCAATTAAAAATACAACAGAAATGGTAAAAATAAATGTAAGCAGTTGCTTTTTTGGTGTAGAATAATGCCTAAAGATGTTTTCTGTGGAATTTTCGGGGTTTAATTGAACTTTATGAAGATGGATGAATGTGTTTTTAAGGAGTTTTCCATTTGATCTTTCTTAGATTTAATTACAAGAAGGAAGTGTCAGTTGTGTAAAGGATATTTATTTACAAGTTTCTGGACAGTTAGCTGGAGTTTTTGTTTTTATTTTTCTTTAATTTAGAAGAGAAAGAGTAATTAAAAGGTTAAATTAAAAATATTTTTAAGGAAAATAAAAGCTTTTTAAGCCATAAATATTTTCAATATTAAATTCTTATTCTTTTTACAAGCTGTAAATACCTCAAATAAAATAATTTAAATTAAGTGGGACTAATTTTACTATTAAAGAAGTATTTCCTTTTATTTAAGTCTTCTTAAAATTACATAAATATTACTTAAACCAAGGTTCTCTTATTTTATATTTTTAACAAAACCCTTCTGTACTTTAAATGAATTAATTTTCCCAGGAAAACCCCTGTGATACCCATTCTTTTCGTTTAATTAATAACTCGTTGGAACTTTGCAGACATCTCATGGCTAAATATGAATTTAAGCTGTCTTTTCCTGCTTAGCAGGATATCCTAGCTGCATATCCTGCCAGCATATCCTTGCCCTTTGCCCTCTGTCTGTCTGCATGTGTGTGTGTGGGAGCCCGAGCAACTTTGGCCAAAAGCAAACCACTTAAATTCATTTTAATTCAAGCGAATAGCAAACGCAGTTACTTGGATATATATTTCCCAACCCAGGCCAGACACTGCCACTAACTCATAATAATTTCACAGCGCATACACTTGCCATAAAATAATTTCTCCTGCTTTTTTTGTACTACCATTTTTTTCAGGACTCTTCTTTAGGGTTTTCCCTATCTTTTTTTTTGCCTGCTTTCCCAGCTCGAGTGTCTAGTGCGTCGTCTCAAAGGGTTTCACACTTGCTGTTTGTGTGAGTGTTTTTCCGCCAGGAGCCAAAGGTTGCATATGAAAATATTTGTAAAGCAACAACTTATGGGGGTGGAGGAGGGACTAGAGCCTGGGGAAAAGTGTAAATGTAAATATTTAAGGCTCATTTCGGTTTATTATAATTTCATTTGCAAACGCTGCCACATTGAGATTGCTTTAAAATTTGCAGGTAATTAAATTGAACTTAAATGCATTTAATTTGTTATCTCTGTCAAAGTTAAGGTATAAAGGAGGCTTGTTTGAGCATAAGATTTGATTTATTTACCTGATTTATTTATCAGAAAATGTTTTACTTGGATTAAGGCATTTTAATTGGGTTGGTTGAATAGGAAATTGGTTGTGTAAATATTTAAGGGTTTTGTTTTAGTTATTCAAGCAAATTTTAGAATATATTTGGAAAGAGAAGAGAATACAATATATTCATAAAATTTATAACAAGAAAGTAGCTTCTATTGCAAATTTATTATAATTAAAATCATCTTTTTCTAAATGTTTCCAATCATTCTCCTTTGAATTTCCCAAGAGCATCTCCCTCTAATTAGCTTTTTGCAAATATCATATATTAATTTCAAGAGATGCCCGCCGATAAGCTGCCATTCCCCGATAGAGTCATCAACACGCAAAGGCACCTCTCCTTCTCTCCCCCCCAAAGACTGGACTTTAATTAAGCTCACGATCATGAGGAGCAACTTGGCGGCGCAATTAAAAAATCCAAGGCTGGAAAAATCAAGCAACTTCACTCACTCAAAACGCTGAAGCTGAAAAACTGCGAGAAAATTAAAAAGGAGGCGTTGCTGTGTGAATGGACGAATAAAATGGATGGGGCTGGTGGAGACTGGGGATGATGAGATTCGCTATCAGCTAGAGGCCACGCCCCCGTCGGCCAGTGAACGGGGGGCGTGAGTGGCAATTTTTCGCGCTGAGTGCAAATTGCAAGAGGATCGTAGAGATCGCATGGCTTTTCCCCGTTGTGCAAATAAGCAATTAGTTGGCTTAATAACTCAATGGCCTTGCAACCGGTTTTGCCTTTTACTAATAGAATTTTATACACAGGAATAAAGGGGGGGGAAGGTGGATTTGAGCCACAAAGTTAACTTTGCCTTTTTGCTAAAACAGTCCGCGTAAAAGTTAGCTGGCAACAAAGTTGGAGCCGGGGCCACAAAGTAAATGAAGCCGCCGCCACCGCCGACGATGCAGCAGCCTCAATTTAAAATTAAGCTCATGAAAAGTAGTTAACCTCGAACCCTCCCCCTTTGCCAAAAGCCGTTAACTACAGCACAAAGTCAACGTGGAGCAGCGAGGAGGGTAAAGTAGAGAAAACCCTCGGAAAAACCCTCTTGTTCGCATTAAAGTAAGCATGAAATTAAAGCTAAACCAGAAAGGCGACCAAACGCCACGCCGCCCTTCTGATGGATGCATGGCTTGTGGGTGGGTGGCTTTCCTCTATAAGCTTGTGGCGAGCTCAAAGGGGGTTGTGCTGGTTGTGAGAGCCCGGAAAATGAGGCTAAAAGCAGCGCAATGTTGCCTGCATTGTTGCAGCATCAAATTAGCAGCCTTGTTGTATTAAATAGTAGCGCGAAATTCACATTTTCGCCCATTGTTGTTGCCCAAAAGGAGCTCAAATGACCTCGGCACTTGAAAGAATGGGTTATGGGTTAAGGAAATAATATATAAATAGGGTAAAATTATAAGAGAAATATATAAAATGAAATAATAATATATATTTAACATATAAATATTTAATATATATTAAATAAAGATATCTTTTATAGTTTTTTATCCCAAAACTTCGCGAAAAAGCTACCTAGATACATTTTAAATTCATAATAAATTTCTTATAAATTTTTCATTACCTTTCTCATTTTTTTTATTATATTTTCTACAACTTGTTACCCATTTCTCTCACTGCACCTAATGATACAACCAAAAATTCCACTTAAAGACCTGCCCCAGACGCATCTTTTTGCTAAAAACAGCTGCACTACACTTCTTTCTTTCATTCGTCCTGAATTTTCTTTGCTTCCTTTCTTCCCTTTCATGTTCATTTCCCTTTGCTAGCCATTTCCCCCAGCCAAAAGGAAGAGAGGGGAAAAAATAAAAATTACAACACCCAAAGGTGTAATTGAATCAAATGAGGAAAAGCGAAAATTTTTTGAGATTACTTCAAAATGTACGCTCCGAGACGAAA